AACTGGGATCTGGTATGGCTATATGTAAATCAAGGCAAATAGGTGAAAATGCATGATGATTATCTCTTGTTTGGCAGAAATGATTTCCATTATCTCAGCAAAATACTTTGTTTTCCCACTCAGTCTTCCAAAATAATGCACCTCCCAACAGTGAGATTAAATAACATCACTGTTTTATCTCTGCGTGTCCTAGTTTATCGCTTTCAGATATTATTAGGTTGTGCATTACTTAAATGTAGAAGGAATGACGCACTTTCTCTTGAGAGAAATTTGGGGTAATTTCAATGGTATGTTGAACTCTGTGATGCAGAATTGGAAACTCTGTAATGTCATCTGCTACACAAATTGATAGCACTTAACAGTACACCACATAATACTTTCTCTTGCAGTACTGATCCGTACCGACCTGGCTGAGCAGGGGTAGCTAGTTCTGTTGATTATATACCCATCACAACTTGTGTTAGTTATCTGTTGATTTTAACTTTCTCTTTTTTTTTTTTTTTTTTTTTGCATGGTGTTTTCTGGAGAGAAGTTCATATTTCAGAGAGCTTGAATTTGCCATGCTGGCCTACAGGAATGTATTTGGCATGTTAACTTCCTTTTAACAGTTGTCTTTAATATATACAGAGAGCACCTAGCTCTGAGAGGCCATCTAAACGTCTTCAAAGAGTTATTGAATTGTTTATTGATCTACTTCATTATTGCCGTTCCTCTGGTTCTTTTTGATGTCTTGTCACTTTGTTCAAAATATAATGCCAGGGTTTTAAATTAACAGTTGTGCAGGAAGCCGTACATGTGTAAATATTAGGGTATGTTTCTCCTTTGAGTGAGAATGTGCTAGATTGTCCAGTAAATATTGCTGCCATCAGAGTTTTATCCTTTTTCATGCCCCCCCTCCCTTTGCACAAAGGCTCCTTCCTCTCTTCCTCTTAAGAAAACTGAAGTGTCTGAGGTTTTATCTCCTAGGTTTTATAACAGTGTAATCTCTTATTCTGCCATTGGAAGCTTACAGACTACTTCCCTGTTTAGGAAAAGAAATTTGATTAATTTTTCCCTCCTTCCCTTTAATCTTTTCCATGTGTGTCTCTTATTTTTGTTAAATTCACAAATTAAAAGTGTCTGCTGATTTTTTTTTTTTTTTTTTTTTTTTTTTTTCCTTTCATTAATTTAATCGCTTTTTAAAGCTTTTTAAGCTTCTGGATTAGACAACATCCCGTGGTAAGGAGCTCCAGAATCAGTATATTGATTACTTGGAAAAGTGCTTAATTTTTAATCCTTTCACCTGAATATTAATTTGTGGAATTTTTTTTTTTTTTTTAAATAGTGGGTAATATTTATTTATTTAATTTCTAGGCCATGCAGGATCTTAAATATATTTGTCATATCCTGCATCCGTTGCTTCTTATTCCAGGGTTAAGATTATAGCCTGTTCGCTTATTCCCTGTACAGCAGTTGTTCCGTACCTTTGATAATCTTGGTCGCCTCTTGGTATCTCTCCTATTTCCAGATTTTGCATTTGACTTGGCCCTTCTAGCGCGTGGGCTGGACTTCTATCCTTAGTGTGCACCCACAGCAACACCAGGAGGTTGCCTGGTATTGGATAAATTTTTCTGGTTAATTAACACAGAAGCATGTTACGTGGCAGAGTGAGAAATAAGATTTCCCGCCGGTGATAAAGCAGGTTCGGAACGGGTTCGATTAGATGTGTACCTTCTGCAGGCATCCCTGCCCGTTTGCGCTCGTCCAGCTCCTGGCCTCTCCCCCCGGCCAGGACTTGTCCCCGGGCGCGCGGTGGGCGTGCGGGGCAGCGAGTCCCGAGCATTAGACGCTTTGAGGTATCGGCTGCTTCTGGCTGAAGAGACAAAGCTTTGTGCCATGAAGCTGTCGCTTTCATGTATTGCTGGTGGTCATTGTGTGTTTATAAAGGATAATTTTTTTCTTTTTCTTTTTTTTTCCTTTTTTTAAAAAGAAGCCCCAAGCCGCCACTCCTTCTCTTTCCCCCACCCAAAATGGTGGGAGCGAGCTGAAATATTGCGGAGGTAGGGGGAAAAAAGCTCTTAATATTTAAGGTTGTAGAAAGTAAGCTGTTACACTAGAAATGGTCAAAGTCGAGGTTACCTGTGCAGTGTTAGATCTTCGGTTTTCTTGTGCGTGCAGCACCATCGGTCTTTAAGCACTTGCATACTGTTCTCTTTTCTGCAAAACTGCAGATATTTCAACAATACCAGAAATACTGTGAAATCGTAGGGTAGAGTTAGATGTGTTTATTGATGAGATTTCTTTTTTTTTTTTTTTTTTCCTGCTGCCCCTACCCTTTCGTTGTTATATTTCAGTGTGTAGCTTGACTACAGTGCTTCTGTTTCCCATCTCATTGTAAACTGTGTTTCCTTACCTTTTGAAAACCCACTTCAAATGTAACTGAATAAAAAGCATCAGAGAAAACCCAGTTAGGAGGGGAAAAAGGAAAGCAAATCCTCAGCTGTGTGGAGCTGCCAGGAATGTTCAGAAGCTGACAGAGATGAACTGCTCATCTCTAAGCATAAATAGCCTTCAGAGTCTGCATGTTTCTTGCCTTGTGAAACTGGGTGCTCTGTCCTCGTTAGTTTTGTTTCTTTTAAAATATTTGGTGATCACATTGCTTACTTTGTGTAGCGTAAGGTTCCGTTGCAGTCACTTTTCGCTTTGCAGTACATGAAGACCAGGAGTCTACACAGTGTCCGGACTACGGTGAAATTAGCAGTTAACTGTAGTCCAGCCGAGTGTTTTGTGATCTGCCAGGCATTTTACAGTGAAACATCCAGGATAAAATGCCACAAAATTGACGGGTTTCTGTTGAGAGGGATTTTCATCTTTTCCACTGTTTACATACTGAAGATGAGGACTTTGCTGTGACACAAAGACACTTTAGGAAGACTTCAGACAGCAAAATATCTTCTCTTTGCAGAAGAAATGTATTGTGTAGGCTGTTTGTTGTTTTGAAGTTAAAACATTTTTTTTTTTTTTCCCCACAAGAGTACTAGCTGTTTCACTATGGAAAAACTCATATTTTTGTTTGAAGTGGTTAAGTAGCCAAAAAGTCAATAATATGTATAAAATGTGTAATACATGTCAACTTGTGTGCCTTTACTCCACCATACCCTGTCATGCTGAAATAGTGCCCTTGCATAGACTGAAGATACATAATTTCTGTTGAGAGCACTTGTGTTTTGTGAAGGTTTGTACTGCCCCATGTAAAAAACATTGTTATTATTTAAAAATTATCAAATCTCTATCTTCTGATTATGATTTTTTTTTTTTTGTAAATATCTTCACAAAAGAAAACCCATTAAGAGAATAGGTACTACGTTGCAGGGAATCTCAGAAAATGGAAGTACAGAAAGCTACTAAGCCAATACTTAAGTCCCATTCTGTTTTCCTGATCATGTGAGATTTCATTATCTTAATTTTATCTATTTCATTTCACAGCACCATTCCTTTCCTTCCTGCTGCAAGAGAGGACCATTTTCTGGCACTAAATCTTCCTTTCTCTCCCTCCCTCCTCCCTGACCCCCAAGAACTCTGCACTGCTTGCCCGTTAGGGTTAAACCCAGATATTCCTGCCTGCATCATGTCGGGCATTTCAAGAGAGGCAGGTGTTGATTATTGAACCTGAAGGAGGAGAGATCTGAGGCACAGCAATGGTTTAGCAGAGTCTTCAGAGTCAACAAGGCTGTACGGAGAGGGAGTCAGCCCACCCGTCGTTCAGGGGGCTTGCAGGCTCGGTAGACTAAAGCGGTTGATATCGAAACCCCGGCGCTATATGCACTTCACAGTTTTAGTTTGGGGCTAGATATAATCTGCTCCCCGGCACTGAACAGCCTCGCTGTGCTTGGGGTTCAAAGTTGAAGGACTGCTTATTAGTTCAGACCTGCCCTGGTAAGAGATGAAGGATTAGAGCAGAGCTTCAAATTCAGTTTCCTCTCAAAAAATTGTGGTTGCGTGTGCCAAAACTGCCCCGGACACAGAACCATTGTACTAAGGGAGAACTTTAAAACCATGCTATTGCGCTGGGTTAAGGTGTTAATATAGACACAGCCTTTATTAGTCTTAAATGTCTGTTGTCCTGGTCCTCCCGGTGATAGCGTTCAGCATGATAGGATTCGGTATTATTGTGTCTTTGGCTAATTAAAGCTGCTGCTGTTAGCTCCTGCTCTTTCAGATTTCACTAATTGAAGTCCACTGATTTAAATCCATTGTTTGTATTAAGAAAGGGGGAGGGGAGGGGGAGAAAAAAAAGACTTTGGGATTTGGTTGATTTTTTTTTTTTTTTTTTTTTTCTTTTTTTCCTACTATTGTCCCTGTCAACATGCCACAGTTTCATCTGAAACAAGGGATGCATGAAGCTTTACATTCTGGGTTTTGTTTCCCTGTATTTTTTTTTTTATATTTGTTTAATTTGCTGACTGGCAGCTATAAAATCACTTAATCAGCCTATCTGACCCAAATATTAGGTTTGTCTTGAACACACTGATAGTGTCTTGGTTCGTGCACATCTGAGACTAGTTTGAATTCTTGTTTGGTGATCTATGTGGGTAGCAGTGATGGAAGAAGAAGAAAATCATCTGAAGATTTGTCTTGTTCCTTTCCCAGCTGTGCCCCAGTGGACACACCCCGAATGCCTGTTTTGGTCTTGTTTGTAACCTCATGTAGCTTTGGAGAGTCACTTCTGACTTGCAAGACACTCTGCGGGAAGAGGAGCAGCTCTCTATTTCCACTTCTTAATTTTCAGGCCTGTGTCTGAGTCCCTTCTGTTCTTCTGCCCTCTCTGAAACACCAGTGTATTGCGTTTATTCCTGTGACTTGAGAAGCTGCTGAGCTATGTCGCCACATTGACAGTTCTGTTTGGCCAACACAGAAAACATTTTCTCCCTCTGAATACAGGGAAGTCGTCTGGACTATTTCCTATGGTAAGCCCTCTCATGGCAAGATCCCAAACTAACTTACTACCTTATTTTTTCCAGGTACTCCATGTCTGCATTCTCCCGACTAAGCAAAGTAGGGATCCGACATCCTCCACCTCTTCCTTTCATTGGAAACCTGCTCTTTTTCCGTGAGGTAAAATATGGTTTTCTTTGTATTTATTCAAAGTGATGGGAAGAGTGGGCAGGAGGTAGGAGTAATTGAAGGGAATCCTACACTTCAACAGCACCATCTCTTCAAGCATCTCCCTCCAGAAAGAACAAGCAAAACTCAGCTTTTTGAGTGAATTGGTAGAAGCAGTTGTGTGCAAGCAGCTCTAATTTAAGGGTAAAATAAACTTGAGAGAAAGACAATGTGTAAACTCCTGCAGTTAATTACTTGAGTTTTTCCAAGAAAGTTCATGCCCTCAGTGAAACAAACTTAGTCATGTGAATAGAGCAGATTATGCTGACTAGCCCCACCTGGTTTGTTCTGAGTGGTTTTGGCTCCTATGACCTTTCTGTTTGTGCTTTTGCTGGTTGTATGTATTTATTTTAAAGATTGTAGCGTTGCTTGCTCCTAGGTAGTAACTGGAACTAGGTATCACTGAACACTGTTGCTCTGTGCCCCAAATATTGGGACTGAGAGGAAGAAGGAAGTTTGGGGATTCTGCCTGAAGATTTTGTTCCCCTATTTTTCTCACCCATTCACTTTCATTCCTCTGACAATGCTGTGGTTTTGTTCCTTGCTCAATTTCAGCAGTGCTTCTGAGGGTCCAAGATCTCTTAACAATGAGGAGTTGCCATTTATCTGGTTGGATCTTACAGTAAAACCTCTGCAGCTCACCTCTTGGCAGTCCAGCAACTGGGCTAACTCCAGCTGCTGCCCAATTTGCTCTTTTAAGCAAAGAGTCATCAGTATCTGTGCTGATATTTGAATTATTAATGAGAATATAATGCCTCTTTCCTTGGTCTTCATGATGACTATTCTGTCAATATCAGACTCATTATTATTATCAAAACCCATTTAAATACCAGTTTTACATGTACATCCGATTTCATTTAGAAAAACATCTGATTTCATTTAGAAAATAGCATAAAAGGTAGACTTGATCCACTCTTAACTTGCACTGGAATCGGCAGGGTTACTTTAACGTGTAGGGGATGCTGGTGGTGTGGAATACAGACCAGTTCACCTGTGCTCTTCTGGTTTCAGTTCAGCTGGATGGCATGAAGCTGCACGTTCTGTAGATCTTTGGTGACAAAATCCAGTTATCGTTAGTCACCTGCTAACACTCGTTACAGGAAAAAGTGTCTGGAGACTAAGTCGTTTTGATACGTTGTAGATAGGTTTGCCCTGCACCAGTGTACAAGAGGAAAGTTTTTTGCAAACTGTTATCTATGATCCGTTAGGCAAATTTCATTCAGAATTATATTCATTAAATTAACTTAAAACGGGCTAATGAAGAAAAGATAAACTTGATTTTGCTAACTTTTAGGAAAAAAATAAAGGCAGCTGAGAAATTGAATCCTGGAGTACCAAAGCCCCAAGCCGCAGGGGGCTGGCTGTCCAGCGCTGTGAAGTTTCCCTGTCCTTCCTACAGCCCTGTCGGTGCGGGTGGGAACAGGCAGGGGTGAGTCCAGGGGCTCGGTAATTTTTCTTTCTTCTCTCGTATTTTTTGCCATGTTTTCTGGATCTGCTCCTGTGGCTGCGTTCTTAGGAATAGTGCCCATAGCAACGCGGCGGTAATAGGGGGGCTGCTTTTCCACTGCAGGCTGCTCTCCGCGAGAGCGTTTTCAGGGACGCGGGTGCTCCCGCTGCAGGCAGTAGAGGAGAGCTTCCACCTTCCCTTCCCCAACAGGGGAAAACCAGAGGTTGCCCGTCACCTTCCTGGGGATGGTTTTAGGGGCTTAGCTGCGAGGGGTATAGCTGTGCACGAGCAACAGTTTGTTGGGGGCTGGGGTTACTTTTTGTTTTTCAATAAGCAGCAAAAATGTTGATTTGTTCTGTTGCTACATCTACAATGTTAAGAAGTTCTTGCACTTGCATGCTTATGCAACCAGGTCTTTTCACTGAACTGGTGTTTTAGGGAGTCTCCCTTTTAAATGGGCCAGGTCCTTCTTGGTATCGCCAGCGTTGGGCAGGGAAAACACACGAGCCACGCTCCCACTAAATCATCAGACTGGCAGGTTTCAACTCATGAGCATTTATTTCAGAGGAATTCATGGATGGTGACTAAGAGGAATGAATTGATATGTGCCGTATGGGAATCTGCCTATGTGTAACGCATACATTTCCAGTGCTGAATTTGGTCTGCAAATCAATACAGGTTGAAGAGCCCTGCACAACAGTGAGGTATAGAAGAGAAAGCAAAATCAAACCACTTCAACAGACACAGCCTTCCAGTCCGAAAAGTGTCATCTCATGATTTCAGGCTTTCCTCCTAGAAGAAGATGGTAGAAACTTTAAAAAAAAAAAAAAAAAAAAAAAAGGGAGGAGTGGGAGTCCCTTTGACATAATCAAGTAAATCTACAACCTGGGGACTTAAGAAAAAACATTAAATATCAAAAGCTCTCAACAAAATTGTGGGAGTAGCTGTATTTTTCAATTTGTAATGGCATAAATTCAAGCATTTGTTTGTCTTCTCCTTTACTTGGGTGTAAATCAGTTCTACTGAAGTGAATAGAGGTTCCTGTTTTGATCCGCTGTATATGTGAACAGAGCATCAGGCCTTACCCTTTTTCTGCTGCTATTCTTCTTCTGTAATTGTGCCTGAAAACAAATGAACAATGCAAGCAGGGTTTGACCAATAGAGCTGGGTTGTGCGGTTTTTAATAAACTTTCAAATGTATTTTAAACAAGAAAATGTTTTCTGCACGAGATTTTTAGAAAGAGTTATTTTTGGGATTTCTCAAACAGTGTATTTTCTTTGAGTAAAATAAGAGTTGCTGTTAATATAATATCTCAGAGGAAGAGGAAGTGCTGGAAGTTAAGGGCCTAAGGGAAATGCAACAGGAAAGACCTATCTGCATCACTGAGAAGCAGGCTTGGGGAAAACAATTTTACTGGAAGTCACCCCTTCTCTCTCAAGTACAATAAAGGGAGAAAATCGCACCCTGAAACTAAAACATACCCAAGTTAATCGGCTTATCTCAAAAATGAGAAGATAGGAAATTATTGCAGTTCTGCAGCTGGGAAATTATCTGAGTCCAAGATATTAGATTAAAAATTCTTCTATTGCATGAGAACAATTTGTGGTGGGTAAGTCTGATGTAATAGTAAATATGATTAGGCTGTTTAAGAAACGCAGCACGTTCAATTTTCCCGATAACCAAGATGACAGACCACTGTTTTGCTGGAAACTCCTAACTGTTCCCCCACCTCCCTGTGTACTTTATTTTTCCTACCAGTCTCTGGAAAAGCGTGAGGTTTGTGTGCGATAGCCACACAGCGGGGGGACACGAGGGCATACACAGCGTGGACTTGCACACATGGATCTGCGTGGGCTTCAGAGCAGCATGTTGCAGGAAAATGAAATGAAATTCTCCTAGTAATTCCCAGGCTAATGACCTTCTTACGTGACAAATGCTCGGAAGCCCCAGGAGGCACACGCACCCCGTTACCCTTCCTCCTGCAGAACGGCGGCAGACACTTGCCCTGTTGCTATGACTGTCGTGGACCCTCCTGCCCCTTCCCCATCCCTTTTCTGAGGAGGTTCTGCTGGTTTTAGATGATGTTTGCGCGGGCCTGGCTGCCCGGTACTGTACCTGCGGGCGCTGTTCCCGCTCAGCTTTGCGGGGAGCAGGGCTGTGCTGTGCTGCTGCGGGCTCGGGGCCGGCCTCGCTGGTGTTTTGGGGTGGTGGTAGGTGTGTGCTTGGCTCCCTTGTTTCGGTCCTGGGTAGGTGGGCTACGCGTTTGTGCCCTGTGCACGGCTGGTGATGTGCTTTGGGTCCTTATAATGGCACGATCACGTGTTGCTTCCCTCCTATTACTCCTCGCAAGCTCCAGTGATGCTTTTGACTGGCTGTGTACTTGTATCCCTGACTTGCATTTTAATGAAAGACATCGCTCTCTTTAGCCCCTCTCTGCTTGGACAGGACACCCTTTGTTTACTCTGTTTATTTCTGTCTGGCCTACTTGTAGATCCTGGGCTACCCTGGAGCGGCCCATTTCTGCTGAATGGAAGTGGGGGCTGTGTGGGTGCTTTGTCTTGCTTTCAGTTTGGGATCTGGCTGGGCTGTGTTGTTTTATGGCTGATGGGTGGGAGTGGAGAAGGGGGAAGTGCAGGGAGGAAGCAAAGAGCAAACACGATCTTTTTCCACTATGCATCTGCCGAAAGCGTCCTTTGAGTTGGACGTAAAGCAAAATAAAAGGCAGAATCCTTGCTGGAGTGAAATTACGTCTAATTTGCAGCCCAGAAAGCAGTGTGTCAGTGCTTAGAGAGGCTGCAGCGTTTTACTGTTCTGGAATTTAATGACACAGCATGTAAACCCAAACAAGGATGGAGAGAGGCAAATGGTGAGGGGAGCAAAGAGGGGGAAAAGGGGGAAGGGAAGAAGAGAAACTCTCAGATAGGCTGATGACCTGGATTTAATTACAAGAATAATATGCTTTACACTGACAGTGAAAGCCTGCAGATGGTTTTGCGTTGCTTCGTGCAGCTAAATGAGAGGAGTGGGATAGGAGGAGTGTGTTTTGCCACTTGATAGCTATCTACGTGGAACCGGACAGGGCAGCCGCGGCATCATCACCCGGCCTGGCTTCCCTCCACTGGTTGGCTGTGCGCGTGGGCTGCGGGCTGCTGACCGCCCGAGCAGACCTCACGGGGTGCCTCGGGTCTTCCCTCGCATCCTGGGAAACCCACCTTGAGTGGGAGGCCTCTGCGTGCCTGGATTCATGTGACATGAATACATGTGGTGCAGATCTAAACCTAGCCATTTCACAGTCTGCAACATGACAGAAAACCTGGGGTTAGACGTGTTTTCATGTGTATATTCGTATGTCTGTAAAGCCAGTCTCTCTCCCTTTCAAATACATGTATCTTCCTACTCTCAGCTGGTACTCTGTGCTACCTCCTTTGATCAGACGTTAACGTTGTCAGATACCCTGACAAAGTCAGCGCAGTATGTGTTTGTGGGAACCTAATGCAGGAAATC